TCCCATTCCTCAATACTAGCAGACGACCATGCAACTTATGATTCCTCAATCGCACTTAACAGTTTTTGATTTTTTTTTCTTAGTCCGTCTTTATTTACATCGGTACTGAGTTGATCAATGGTAATTTCAAGATGTCATCAGACCACGCCCCCGTACAAGTGGACATGTATATGCTTTTCACTGGCCGAGAGCGCTCACACATATTTACCGTTGAAATAATTGCTTACATGCTTGTTTTTAGAGAAAGTTGAGAAAAATTTAACAAATAATTTAAATTCGGGATTTTTTTCTGTTGAGTGGTTCAGAGTGGTTATTGCTCAAGAGTACAAGAAGGGTGACAAGTCCAGTTCAAATAATTTCCGAGGTATAAGTTTAATGAGCTGTCTTTGCAAATCATACATTTACATCTAAACTGAATTCTGGACGGAGTACAATTGATGTTGTTTATGCTTTTAGTTTTATTACTACAATTTTTTTCGGTAACAACAAACTTTTATATGCAACTGTTTCGTTGATTTCCAAAAACATGTTTGACCGTGTTGATCGTATTAATCAGTGGATTAAACTAAGAAAGTTAGGAATACTAGGAAAACTTTTAAATTCGACTAAGTCTTCGTATTAAAAGTGAAATCATGTGTAAACCTTAAAGGAGACCACTCTTTTATTCTGTAACGAGGTTCGGTCTCTTCCAGGTGTAAATTCTGTCATCGATACTTTCTTCGTATTTCAACGATTCTGAAACACTTCTATAACACATTGAGACTCGCATTATGGGTTTCAAGACTTCAGTCTATTCCTTTTGTTTTATGCTGACGATATCGTATTATTTCAGAGACTGTTCAGGGATTACCAGATCTGTTCAATAATGTAGAAAGATAATATAAAAAATGGGAGCTCGCTGAGAATATTGAAAATACGAAAGTTTGTGTTAATAAATTTACATATTTAGGGATAAACTTAAGATTTGATAACAAATTTAACAATGTTTAAACCCGCTTTCTAACCAAGGTAGAAAAGCACTGCATGTTTGCAATGTTTACAAAATGTAGAAATGTGAGCTTCAATATTGAGAATATACTCCGCCGTTTGATAGGTGTGTTGGCATCATTTGTAACGATAGATGATAGAAATTGGGATCACCAAAAGCAAATGATATTGAAAAGGTTCGTACACATTTCTTATGATATATTGTAAACTAGATCATTTTCCACTTGAATGTTACAGGAATTTAGGGAATAACTAGATATCTGTTTTAATTACTTACGTCAGGAAATTGTATTTTGAATCGTGCATATGACTTTTTTTAGATATGGAAATACGAGAAATCATATGGTGTCAAATGTGTTAATTTTGTAAAGAAAAAAAAAAGAAATGTTTTTTGTTTCATTTGGTTTCGGATATGTATTGGAAAGAGAACCAATGTATGACAAATTTTACCAAGATATAACTATTTACTTTTTACTAAGGTTGACAACATCTAAACACCTTACTAATAATATTACTTTACCATGTTAATTAACTAAGTATATCAGTCATTAAAATGTAGAATTCTTATAACTAAAATACGTGAACCTGTGCCGTGATTGTTTTTTAGTTGAATTTGGTCGATACAATAGTACTCCAAGGTCTAGACGATTCTGTAATATATGCATTACGATTCTTTCCGTTTAAATTCTTGAATTAATACGTATAAGATCTAAGGAAAAAAGAACATAAAAAATACTATTGGAAAAAAAGTAATTGTGAAGACGGTGTCAGACTGTGGGGAAATATTTACCTGAAGGTAATCAATTAAGAAATAACGAACCAATTGTATGATAAATTTGCCTCTATGTGTTTTGTATACGCCGTGATGTAAATTCTGATCTCACCATACTACCCTACCTGATCTCCTCATACTGCGGTCACTGATAATTGATCAGTTAGCAGACGACCGCGCGACCCAAGCTGATTCCTCAGTCGTACTGAACTTTATATTTGTTATTTGATCTTTTCTTGAAATTTACAATCATTAGTATTCATATCTGAACTTTTTCTATTAGAAAATATAGATAACAAAGCATCCATATCTATTCATAGGTCATTTGATATAACACGAGAAATAGGATAAAGTAGTCGATAAATATAGGATTTGAGTGGGTAACCTTCCCGATCCATTAGACGTATGAGATTTTCGGGCATCGTCATGACAATATGAAAACAAATCAAGGTTACCTAAAAGCTTGAAACAGCCTTTCCAAACAAACGCATAATTGACAGAGATAACAATCGTTTTTGGAACATCACTGACTTTATCCTACAGAACAATGCAAACAATGATTATTATTTTAGGCTCAGTATTTGATCTCGATGGAATCAATTGATTACGCCAAAGATAAAACAATAAAAAGTGCAATTTGGTAGAGGAATGTTTTAGTTGATTTTAACAAATGATTTAGTCACTTTGCCGAAATTCACTTGTCCAGATTGACAAGTGACATAGGAGATGCACTTGTCCGACCTGATTTTGCACTGGTACGGATAAGTCAGGCAAGCTTTATTGTCGAGCCCTGACTTTGACATTTTTCCTAGTGAATAATAACTGATTTGCTCATATCTGTTGAAAAATGAATTAACTTGATGAAAAAAGCCTATTTTTCTTTAAAACAAATTCATATAAACTACAACATTTAGATTTTGTATTACAACCATTTTTATTTCTGGGACAGCCGTTATTATTTTTTCGCTTCATTTTATTTCTCTGGTGCGTAACTAAAGGTAAACAAATGTAGCCAGTGATCATACTCTATTAATGATTGAACACCTTTGATTGATGTTGAGTAAGTGTACAGATGCCATTCATTGTTTGATGTTGTGCATATCTACACGGAAATTCCCTTTGGCATTTTGACTGATGCTAGTCAGTGCAGCTGTTTACACTTGATATTTCCCTGATTTGTTGTATTATAAATTAAGTAATTTCTACTTAGGTAATAGAATCCTTAATTGCAGTTAAATCTCACTGAAACTGAATGTTACATTTCAATTAAGTTTACCAAAATTCATTTGAATATCCAAATATATGTACATGTATCTTTAATTTAATATTCTAATTTTACAGGTCAACTTAGAACTAGTTTTAAATCTAAATTTAGATGCTGGAAACTGGAAAATTTTCCAATTTGACATCTTATTTTTTGTAATTCAGTAAATTTAATCTAAAATCAAATTTTGTGTGTATTTGATCATATATAATTGGCATGCACTGTATTTCCCATAACCCATTAACTAACCTCTGCTTGTATGTTATATTGTCATCTGTTTTTCTGTGAATTGTAAAGTGGGCAGATTTTGAATAAAAACTGTATCATCTTTACATTAGCATATATCACAAATAGTTTGCAGTGTGTTAAGTAAATCTGCTTGCACTTGTATGTATGATTGCACAGTTCTATTTTGGGTTGGGGTATAATACACAATGCTTCATGTTTGCCAAACACAATACCTCCAAGCAAGGAGCTCACCATAATAGTTGCAGTAAGAAAATAAGATTGTGTCAGTCTTTAGTTAACACAAAAATTATTATTGTTACGAATCTTCAGCTTTATTATGAAGCAATAATTTGTTTTCATATCAATTCAGGGTGTGTTATTATTCACATGGCTCCAGAGAATTTTTCTTGACAAAATTTTCACTTCGTGTCTTCCAGATGAAAATGAAAAAAAAATGAAATGAGAAAGATGCAATACATCTATAAACCATTGATACTGTGTCTTTTGCTTCAGTGTGCACTGCTTGGTGCTTTTCACATTTTATAATTTAACTGGGTTAACTTCAAACTTAACTTATCTTCAAAAAATATTTTTATTTAACAATTCATTTAATACATAATGACTGATGTTTTTGCTGCATATATCTACACACCTGGAATTTGTAATAAAGAGGAGAGAGAACCAGCAACACTGATTTCAGGAATGTTCAATTTTTCCAAAACATCAGTTGCTATGACAGTTTACTTCATCTCGTTTAAAATCCAAAGGCTTTTTTTCTTTGCAAAGTACATAACCCACGGCCATTCATCAACCTGAAAAGAGTAAAACATTTTGATTTAAATGATGAATAATGATCTGAGCCAACATTCTTTAGCTGTTTGGTTTATCTATTCATTTATTTATTTATCTATTTATTTATTTACTTTGATTTGAATACAAAGAATCATCACTGTTAAAGTCTTAGTGAAAACTCCTGTACAAGCGGTATAAAATTTGTATGGCAATTCTATAGCATTCTATAGAATAATAATAATGTTTACTTCATATATACAGATGAGAACAGTTTTTTAATAAATCAAATTTAAATTTAAAACACAATCATTCATTAAAACTTCAGTAAAACTGAAGTTGATATCTTGCAATTTAATATGAAATCCTTGTTCACATGTCATCACAAGTTATTTAATAATTAAGATAACTTTATAAGATATTGACTTCAGTTTACATTATTTTTATAGTTTTTAATTGGGAAAAGTAATCAGGGATATTCCAGAATAAACAGTGTGAGGGGTGAGGGGCACTTGTTTTGAAATTAGTTAGGTGGTGGGGTTAAATCCCCATTTTTCTAATTAATATTCCATATACTAAATGTTCCATGAATAGTGGGGTTGCTTAAAAAAATAAAGATAAATTTGTAAAAGCTCAAACAGAGATTGGAAATAATTTAACAAATGATAACTCATTTTCAGTTCAGTTAATATATTAGACAATTTGTAAAAGCTCAAACAGAAATTGGAAATAATTTAACAAATGATAACTCATTATCAGTTCAGTTCAGATATTAGACAATTTCACTCTACCTATTTGCACAGTACTTTAACTTGCCGGGTTGACAGTTTATTATGAAGACATTTGGTTGCCTTGTCAATGGAGTATGGTTACTGAGTGGTCCTTCAGCTTGGTCAAGGGGTGGCTTTCAGTCTGATGGATGGATGGCTGTTCAGTCTGATGGCTGGATGGCTGTTCAATATGATGGATGAATGGCTGTTCAATCTGATGGTTGGATGGCTGTTTAGTCTGATGACTGGATGGCTGTTCAATATGATGGATGAATGGCTGTTCAATCTGATGGAAGGGTGGCTGTTTAGTCTGATGGCTGGATGGCTGTTCAATATGATGGATGAATGGCTGTTCAATCTGATGGTTGGGTGGCTGTTTAGTCTGATGGCTGGGTAGCTGATCAGTCTAATGGCTGTTGAGTCAGATGGATGGGTGGCTGTTGAGTCTGATGGAAGGGTGGCTGTTCAGTCTTGATGGTTGGATGGCTGTTCTGTATCATGGCTGGGTTGCTGTTCAGTCTAATGGCTGTTCAGTCAAATGGGTGGGTGGCTGTTCAGTCTAATGACTGTTCAGTCAAATGGGTGGGTGGCTGTTCAGTCTGATCGAAGGGTAGCTGTTCAGTCTTATGGATAGGTGGCTGCTAAATCTGATGGTTAGGTGACTATTCAGTCAGATTGTTCAGCGCCTGTTCAGTCTGATGGAAGGGTAGCTGTTCAGTCATATGGATAGGTGGCTGTTCAGTCTGATGGTTGGATGGCTGCTCTGTCTTATGGATGGGTTGCTCTTCAGTCTGATGGCTGTTCAGTCCTATGGATAGGTGGCTGTTCAGTCTGATGGTTGGATGGCTGTTCTGTCTTATATAGGGTTGCTGTTGAGTCTGATGTTTGGGTAGCTGTTCTGTCTCATGGCTTGGTTGCTGTTCAGTCTGATGGTTGGATGGCTGGTCAGTCTGATGGCTGGGTGACTGTTCAGTCTGATGAATATTCAATCAGATGGGTGGGTGGCTGTTCAGTCGGATGGCTAGATGTTTGCTCAGTCTGATGACTAGGTGGCTGTTAAATCTGACGACTGCATTGCTGTTGAGTCTGATGGCTGTTGAGTCTGATGACTAGGTGGCTGTTCAGTCTGATGGCTGGGTGGCTGTTTAGTCTGATGGCTGGGCGACTGTTCAATCTAATGGCTATTCAGTCAGATGGGTGAGTGGTTGTTCAGAATGATGACTAGGTGGCTGTTTAGTCCAATGGCTGGGTGACTCTTCAGCTTGATGGCAGTTGAGTCGGATGGCTGGATGGATGTTCGTTCTGATGGCTTGATGACTCCTCTGTCAGATGGTTTTCATTCTGATTGATGGATGGCTGTTTAGTTTTATGGCTGGATGGCTTTTCAATCTGATGGATAGATGGTTGTTCAATCTGATGGTTGGGTGACTGTTTAGTCTGATGGCTGGATGGCTGTTCAGTTAGATGGGTGGGTGGTTGTTCAGGTTGATGGTTGGATGGCTTGTCAGTCTGAAGGCTGGGTGACTGTTCAATCAGATGGATGGGTGGCTGTTCAGTTAGATGGCTGGACAGTTTCTCAGTCTGACTGCTGTATGGCTGTTCAGTACGATGGCTGTTGAGTCAGTTGGTTGGATGGTTGTTCAGTCTGATGGCTGGATGGCTGTTCAGTCTGATGGCTGTTCAGTCTGATGGCTGTTGAGTGAGATGGGCGGGTGGCTGTTCAGTATGATGGCTAGATGTTTCCTCAGTCTGATGACTAGGTGGTCAGTCTGATGACTGCTGACACCACCTGATTCCACATGGCTGGGAGACTGTTGAGTTGTTGAGTCTCTTCACAACTTCTTCTTCCACATCATTGGCTGGACACCACCTCTTGGCTATGATGGACACCACCTCTTCTGATGACTCTTTGGCACCACCTCTTCCACATCTCTGACTGGATTGCACCTCTTCCACGTCCTCTTTGGACACCACCTCTTCCATGTTCCTTGAGGACACCACCTCTTCCACATCCTGGTTGGACACCACATATTTCACGCTTACCTTATAACATCACCTCTTCCACATCCTGTTTGGACATCGTCTCTTCCACATCCTTTTTGGACACCACCTCTTCCACATACTTTTTGGACACCACCTCTTCCACATCCTCTTTGGACACCACCTCTTCCACATCCTTTTTGGACACCACCTCTTCCACATCCTCTTTGGATACCACCTCTTCCACATCCTATTTGGACACCACCTCTTCCACATCCTCTGGGGACACCCAGTGGACACCACCTCTTCCACATCCTTTTTGGACACCACCTCTTCCACATCCTTTTTGGACACCACCTCTTCCACATCCTTTTTGGACACCACCTCTTCCACATTTCCTTGGGACACCACCTCTTCCATCTTATCTTTGAACACCACCTCTTCCACATCCTTTTATGACACCACCTCTTGCTTGTTGCCTTGTGACACTGCGACTTCCACATCCTTTTTGGACACCACCTCTTCCACATCGTCTTTGGACACCACCTCTTCCACATCCTCTTTGGACAACACCTCTTCCACATCCTCTTTTCACACCACCTCTTCCATGTTCCAGGGGACACCACCTCTTCCACATGTTTTTTGGAAACCACCTCTTCCACATCCTCTTTGGTGCACCATCTCTTTCACATCCTGTTTGGACACCTCTTCTATGTGTTGTTTTAGACGTCATCTCTACCACATCCTCTTTGTACACCACCTCTTCCACATCCTCTTTGGACACCACCTCTTCCACATCCTCTTTTGACATCACTTGTTCTACATCATCTTTGGACACCACCTCTTCCACATCCTCTTTGGACACCAACTCTTCAACGCTCTCTGGGTACACTACCTCTTCCACATCCTTTTTGGACACCACCTCTTCCACATACTCTTTGGACACCACCTCTTCCACATCCTCTTTGGACAACACCTCTTCTACATACTGTTTTTACACCACCTCTTCCACATCCTCTTTTGACAACACCTCTTCCACATCCTCTTTTGACATCACTTTTTCCACATCCTCTTTGGACACCACCTCTTGCACATCCTCTATGGACACCACCTCTTCCACATCCTCTTTGGACACCACCTCTTCCACATCCAATTTGGGCACCACTTCTTCCACATCTTCTTTGGACACCACCTCTTCCACATCCTTTTTGCACACCACCTCTTCCACATCCTTTTTGCAGACCACCTCTTCCACATCCTCTTTGGACACCATCTCTTCCACATCCTCTTTGGACACCACCTCTTCCATATCCTCTTTGGACACCACCTCTTCCATGTTCCTTGAGCACACTACTTCTTTCACATTCTCTATGGAAACCACCTCTTCCACATCCTTTTTGGATATCATCTCTTTCACATCCTCTTCGGAGACCACCTCTTCCACATTCCCTTTGGACACCACCTCTCCCACATCTCTTTGGACACCACCTCTACCACCTCTTCCACATCCTCTTTGGACACCACCTCTTTTATGTTCCTTGAGGACACTACTTCTTCCACATTCCCAGTTAACACCACATCTTCCACATCCTTTTTGGACACCACATATTCCACATCCTCTTTTGACAACACCTCTTCCACGTTCCAAGGGAACACCACCTCTTCCACATCCTCTATGGACACCACCTCTTCCACATCCTTTTTGGACACCACCTCTTCCACATCCTCTTTGGGAACCACCTCTTCCACATCCTCTATGGACACTACCTATTTCACGTTCCCTATGAACACCACCTCTTCCACATCCTTTTTGCAGACCACCTCTTCCACATCCTCTTTGGACCACATTTCCTTTGGACACCATCTGTACCACTTCCTTTTTGGACCCCACCTCTTCCACATCCTCTTTTGACACCACCTCTTCCACATCCTCTTTGGACACCACCTCTTCCATGTTCCTTGAGGACACTACTTCTTCCACGTTCCCAGTTAACACCACCTCTTCCACATCCTTTTTGGACACCACCTCTTCCACATCCTCTTTGGACACCACCTCTTCCACATCCTCTTTGGACACCACCTCTTCCACATCCTCTATGGACACCACCTGTTCCACATCCTCATTGGACACCACCTGTTCCACATTTCGTTATAACACCACCTTTTTCCACATCCTCTTTGTACACCATCTATTGCACATTCCTTGGACACCACTCTCTTCCACATCCTTTTTGTACACCACCTCTTCCACATCCTCTTGCGACACCACCTCTTCCACATCCTTTTTGCGCACCACCTATTTCACGTTCCTTATGGACATCACCTCTTTCACATCCTCTTTGGACACCACCTCTTCCACATCCTCTTTGGACACCACCTCTTCCACATACTCTTTGGACACCACCTCTTCCACATCCTCTTTGGACACCACCTCTTCCACATCCTCTTTTGACATCACTTATCTTCCACATCCTCTTTGGACACCACTTATTTCACGTACCCTATGAACATCACCTCTTTCACATCCTGTATGGACACCATCTCTTCCACATCCTCTTTTGACATCACTTGTTCCACATCCTCTTTGGACACCACCTCTTCCACATCCTCTATGGACACCACCCCTTCCACATACTCATTGGACACCATCTCTACTAGTTGTTTTAGACACCACCTCTTCCACATCCTCTTCTGGACACCAGCTCTTCCACATCCTCTTTGGACACCACCTCTTCCACATCCTCTTTGGACCCCACCTCTTCCACATCGTGTTTGGACACCATCTCTTCCACGTCCTATTTGGACACCACCTCTTCCACATCCTCTTTGGACAACATCTTCTACATCCTCTTTGGACACCATCTCTTCCACATCCTCTTTGTACACCACCTCTTCCACATCCTCTTTGGACACCACCTCTTCCAAATCCTATTTGGACATCACCTCTTCCATATCCTCTTTTGACACCAGGTCTTCCACATCCTGTTTTGACACCACCTCTTCGACATCATTTTTGGACATCACCTCTTCCACCTCCTCTTTGGACACCACCTCTCCAACATCCTGTTTGGATACGACCTCTTCTACATCCTCTTTGGACACCACCTCTTCCACATCCTCTTTGGACACCACCTCTTCCCTGTCCTATTTGGACACCACCTCTTCCACATCCTCTTTGGACACCACCTCTTCCACATCCTCTTTGGACACCACCTCTTCCACATCCTCTTTGGACAACATCTCTACATCCTCTTTGGACACCACCTTTTTCACATCCTCTTTGGGCACCTCTTCCATGTCCTCTTTGGACACCACCTCTTCCACATCCTGTATGGACACCACCTCTTCCACATCCTCTTTTAACATCACCTCTTCCACATCCTCTTTGGACACCACCTCTTCCATGTTCCTTGAGGACAATACTTCTTCCACGTTCCCAGTTAACACCACCTCTTCCACATCCTTTTTGGACATCACATATTTCACGCTTACCTTATAACATCACCTCTTCCACATCCTCTTTGGACACCACCTCTTCCACCATCTTCCACATCCCTTTGGACACCACCTCTTCCACATTTGAACACCACCTATCCACATTTGGACACCACCTCTTCCACATTCCCATGGGACACCACCTCTTCCACGTCCTATTTGGACACCACCTCTTCCACATCCTCTTTGGATACCAACTCTTCCACGTTCCCAGGGGACACCACCTGTTCCACATCCTTTTTGAGAAAAACACCTCTTCCACATCCTCTTTGGACACCAACTCTTCAACGCTCCCTGGGGACACCACCTCTTCCACATTCTTTTTGGACACCACCTCTTCCACATCCTCTTTGGACACCACCTCTTCCACATCCTCTTTTGACACCACCTCTTCCACATCCTCTTTGGACACCACCTCTTCCACATCCCTTTGGACACCACCTCTTCCACATCCTTTTTGGACACCACCTCTTCCACATTCCCAGTGGACACCACCTCTTCCACATCCTTTTTGGACACCATATATTCCACGCTTACGTTATAACACACCTCTTCCACATCCTTTTTGGACATCGTCTCTTCCACATCCTTTTTGGACACCACCTCTTCCACATACTTTTTGGACACCACCTCTTTCACATCCTCTTTGGACACCACCTCGTCCACATCCTGTTTGGACATCATCTCTTCCACATCCTTTTTGGACACCACCTCTTCCACATCCTCTTGTGACACCACCTCTTCCACATCCTCTTTGGGCACCTCCTCTTCCATGACCTCTTTGGACACCAACTCTTCCACATCCTCTTTGGTCACCATCTCTTCCACATCCTCTTTTGACACCACCTCTTCCAGATTTCCTTGGACACCAGTTCTGCCACGTCCTCTTTGGACACCACCTCTTCCACATCCTCTTTGGACCCCACTTCTTCCACCTCCCTTTTGGACACCACCTTTTCCACATCGTCTTCTCTTCCACACCTTTGACACCACCTCTTCCACATCCTCTATGGATACCACTTCTTCCATGTTTTTTTTAACACCACCAATTTCACATCCTCTTTGGACACCACCTCTTCCGCATTCCCTTTGGACACCACCTCTCCCACTTCTTCCACATCCTCTTTGGACACCACCTATTCCA